TTTTTATATATCGGTCGAACGATTGTCGAAAGACCAACGGGATTAGCGTTTAAAAAATAATCCGAAGAATAGAAAAATAAAAAATAAAAAAACGATTCGCGCGAAAAAGCACTAACCATTGATGATATTCTATCCCCTATTCCCACTTCGAGTCGTGATTTAGTGAGAAGAATTTAAGGGGTTGGGAGAAGGGGTTGAGCGGGGGCGCGCGTGCGTGATACTTCGAGTGCAGCCGGCAGGTTTCTCTATCTCCTTAAAAAGACGTCACTATTCGAGGGTTCCTACGTTCCATCAGAGAGGGTAGAAACGGGAAGAAGAGAAAGACAGAGAAAGAAAGAGAGATAGAAAGAGAAAAAAAGAGCTTTGGAGAGGTAGTCGTGGAAGGGTTGAAACTCTCGTAGTCTCGTTCAAGAGTGGGGGAAAGCTCAAAGAAAAGAGCTACTCGTTCTTTCTGTTACCTGAGACGATGATGAAGACCAAGACGATAGAGAAGACGTAGACATTGACTTGGTCTCTCTCCTCCGGGGGCTTGACCCTTTTTAGGTACGACCGCAGGGAGTTCCTTATTTTAATTGCATCCAAAGCAAAGTTAGAAGCAACTACCGACACAACAACGGGCAAGCACTTTCTCTCTCTCTCTCTCTCTCTCTCTCTCTATCTCTTTCTCTTATTATTTGAGAGAACATGTGTGGGTGTAAGGGACAATCGTAGAGGGAGAAACAACTAGACGAAAAGACGATGGGTACGTGTCTTTGTGGATTGCAAGGAGTCGTCGCTTCAGGCCGGAATGTAAAATATGTGGGTCAGGGTCGTACGACGACGAAAACGCTCCGAGTTCTTTTCCTTCTTTCCGGATCTAGCCTAGCCCTTTTTTTTTTTTTAGATCGTTTCGTAGAATGAGATATTACTTTTTGCTCTCTTTATGACGTTTCTAATCTTTTTGTTTTGTATATATCTTTATCGTATCGTTAACGAGAACAACAAGGTCGTAATTGTTTTTGTTTGCTAGCAATACGCGAATAATGAATACACATATGATAAGTTCTAGGTTGAAAAATTTGTTGTCATTCATTATATGGATTCTATCGAAGTATCAACATCAAAATGACAACAAATGTAACTTTCACGTATATTAAAGATATTTTATCATACGTCATGTCGTTGTAAACATATAATCTATTCATATATGTATCCTTTGGACGAATCAACAACTAGTCGCGACTTGATCGTGGTCCGAAAGGGTTGTCTGCAGAATTTGAAAATATCCTAGACTCTAGTTCGAGAAGTCGAACAATTGGTAATCTCGATCAATCTGTACGACCAATTTCGATGAACGATATCGTTCGTAAGTAGTATGCTATGAATAATATAACGAAAGAGAAAAAAAAAATAAAAATAAAAATCAATCGAAGAAAAAAGAAGGATCGATAAACGGTCCTCCTTCTCCTATCGCTAGCTCATTATCTAGAAGAGTAGATGCGGATTATTATGTGTGTGGTAGAGGAGTAGCGAATATCGATTACTTGACTTTTTTCTTCTTTGAACGTCTCGTTGTACGTACAATATGTGTACACACTTGTATAATAGAGGACGTAATGTACGACGTGTTAAGACACATTACGGATTTAAACAAATTAGATATCGTGGTTCGCGCGTTTAAACGTATCCCCAACCGATCTCTATATCTTTTCGAAAGACCCGGAGAACACGGAAGCGGCCGATCTGCAGAGGAAACTGGAGATGCTGAACAACATGATGGACCAGGAAGCAAGGGTCGAACAGGCACGCCGACAGATATTGTACAATATAGGCCACTGTAAGTATTCCCTGCCATTTCCCATCCAAAATTACATTTTAAGCAATCCGTTCTCTCTCTCTCTCTCTCTCTCTTTCTCTCTCTCTAGAGAGATTTTATTCCGATCAATAGTTTCTCTTCTTCTTCTTTATCTTCTTCTATTTCTTCTTTTTCTTCTTCTTCTTCTTCTTCTACTTCTTCTTCCTTGCATTCTTTCTCTTCTCGTCCGTTTGGCCCTTTTCTTTTTTTTTTTTTTTGAATGCTTTCGCGTCCCGAATAACTCTCTTTGATTTTTGTCGCGACTTTGATGATGGTCGTGTTGTTAATAAATTTATTTTTAGAATCTAAAAACGCGCCGCCTAGGTTTAAGACTTTAAAGTTTGACTTTAGTCCGTGTTGCACTTTTCAAAAGGGGGAGAAATCAAGTGGACGTTGTCGAACGATTGCGTTATTTTGCAATAAACCTCGCGTGTTATCAACAGTAGTCAGTGTTGGTTCTCGACAAGAAGTCTCGATATGATGTCTAGTCATCGTACATGAGTATATGTAGTAGAAACGAGTTATCGACCATGGAACGTGTTCAGAATTGTCGGTAACTTACCACTACCCCAAAAGTATCCTTTTTCCTTTAAGTTCAAACTGAAGAAAACGTATGCTAGAGGAATGAAACATTCATCTTCATTATTATAATCTTAATTAACGTTTATCCGTTCGTTTGTCTAAATTAACGTTTTTCGTTGACACCTATTCAAACTTAACGCATTCGTACCTAACTAAAGTACGTATTTTCCCGTTGGGTCGCTTGCTTATCTTCGATCATTACTAACATAAGAGACAGAAGAAACGTTGCCCTGTTCTAGCATGAAAATGTTCGGCTATATTTACCTAATTCCTCCCCTCCCCCCACTGCACGGCTTCACTTACTCAGACTCGTTCAATATTGACCAATTTCACTTGTGGAAAGTTGCAAATTATTGCGGCCAACTGCACCACCGACAAAGTTCTAATTACACTCGTGATTCGCTTAGGTAGTAAAGGGAGCACGAAATTACGATGGGGAGGCTTGTTCTAATTATTGATTTAACGAAAATTTAATAATTTTATAGTTTTTTTTTCTTTCCCTTACGTTAATGGCCATCAACCCGACGACACCTAAAACGAGACACGTTACTTCGAACCAATGATTAATAAACCCCCACTCTTCCATACAACGCGATTCATTCTATTTTATTCTTATCGAAATCGATCTGATTATCGGTGAAAATACTTAGTGGTATTTTACTCGAACCTATGCGAGTATTATGTTCGCTCTAATAATTCTACCGAAAAAGGGAAGTATACAATCTCTTTCCACGTTTCGAAACACGAAACGTTAAAAGAGTCAAAAGTCCTAACAGTAAGGTGAAACCTTTATCGAGTACACGTGTTTCATTGAGCGTTCGAAAAGGTACTCAATACCTCCATTCTATTCATTAGAATTCGTTGAATGACGTTTGTTTCCCTTTCAGCCGGTTATTCGGAGGATTCCGACTACACGTCGGACCTGAATTATCCAGTTGGCGGACAAGGGCCCAACAGCTCGGCTTCCCAGTTTCGTAGCGCGGCGAATCAATTGACTACTCCTCAGAGGTCTCTCGAAACCTCCAGGGAAAACAGTTACGAGAGGGACGATCATCAGGTAGCCATTGTGATCCGATTGATACGATACAAGTTACGAGTTGGCCCAAATTACTCTCTGTCCAATAAATTATTCCCAACCCCCGTATTTTCAACATTGCACATACATGCAAATATTTACTGTTACATTCTATTATGCATTATATTCGTGTAGGTAAATAATGAAGGATATTTTTTGGGCAGATTCCAACGACGGTTGGTGGACGATTAGCTAGCGGTAGTTATGGCGGTGGTTATGGGAGTCAAAGTCATAGTCCGAGATACGACGAGCCTTATCCCGAGGAAGGTCCTCCTCAACGATATGCTCAACAGCATACTTCAGAAACTTCCGAGCCACTATTCTACAATAGTAGACCGAGACATTATAAAGAATACAGGTATTTATATAATATTTATATTTAATGTCTAATTAATATTGAACTATTCACAATATACATTAATTGATAGGAATATCAATTGATCGATCTTAATAACACTATTCTATGATACACTAGATAGACTTTGGTATTAAGAATACTTATGTGTCGTGCTTACAAAAAATATCGTTTTTTCTTCCTGATTCAGAAGACGGAAGCACACATGGGATTACGAGGACAGGTACGAAACGAAATAAAGTCTGAAAAGTTCGTGAGAATCTTCTTAGAGATCCTTCGAGTCATATAGTCTATCTCATATCATCAAATCGAGCATATTCGTCGATTAAAATTAACGATCTTGGCAAATCAAATTCATCTCGTGTTTCGGTTCATCGTTACGGTTTTAATTATGTCTCGTGCATCTTAGAGACGATTAGTTGCATTTTGCTTTATCATATACCGATAGTTTGTTCCTTACCTGAACATTTCCTTCTATCTTAAGTAGAACGAGACGGGATTAAAAAAATTGCATGTGTTCAAATGAACGCACGTGCACACGCGTATCTACATCACACCACATCACATCACACGATACCACACCACAATCCTTTTAAGCATCTGTCCGTCACGATCATTTATCGGTTATATTAATGAATCAATAAATTTATACTTTTGATTGATAATTTCAGTCAAGATGGTTGGTACAGCGAGGGCTACGATTATTATGGTACGCGATTCGACGATACGAGAATCTATAGCGATACCGAATATTATCCAAGTTCAACGACAACCTCGTCGAGAAGAAGAGGTAAATTGATACCCTAAACTAACCCATAAAAAATTACAAATAAAAAAATGGTTCTCAAAATTTTATTATTTTATTCTACTTAGGTCCTCACAGACGGCCGTCCTTGGAAAGACAAACGACTCTCTATGACGATCATTCTTACTTTACCGATGGCTATAGCAGTGATGGTAGAACGAGCAAAATAAACGCCACTTATCCGGAATCTCAAACGGACATAAGGTATAACGAATACTACGACACTATCGCGGGATACGTGTATCAAGATGAAAGGTAGGTGGTCATTAGTACAAACTCTCTTGGAATAAAACCTTTTCTATCATATTCATCTCTGGATTCCTTCCTTGTTTTCCCAGGTATGGTCAGGATGACGAGGACAGACAATGGGATAGCGGAGGGAAGTTGTACTTGGGTACTAGCACTTATTACGAGAATAAACAAAATAGAAAAACGCTCCCGCAAAGGCCTGCGTCGAGCATCGGTATTCATCGACCCGATTACACGTCAACAGTCATCAGGCAACGTAGTTGCGAATCGGATGAATTGGATCACAGGTACTTAGCTAAAGAAAGAAAGAAATTAACCAATAAATAAACGTTTCCTTCTAATTTGAATTCTTTTTCTTTCCTTTTCTAAAGCAGTTACACTCGTCGTAGAAAAGCACTGCAACCGCAACAACGTCCAATGTCTCGTCAGGAAGGAACCGGTAAGAAACTACCTCCTACACCGACCAAACCGAGCAACGTCGTAGTTGGCCGTAAACTCGTCTCTCTACCTGCTACCCCGAGCAGGCAACTGCCAAAGACTAGAACGTCCTCCGAGGAAAGTTATTACAAATATGATTACAACGAGGACTATAATTACGCTTATCGCAGTCAGGATAATTTGCCGCAAGACACGTCTTACTCAGTGAATTTGTACGCTACGCAACAGGATGTTCTCGTCGATCAAGCGCATATTTCTGGCAAAAATCGTTATACCGAAATTAGTCAGGACAATCAATATGCGACCAGTTACGAGAGTCAGTTAGACGATCCTTACGCGTATCAACAAGATTCGCAGACACAAGATATCTACGATCAATCATACGTGCAAAATTCATCGTATAAGGATGAGTATCAAGAATCTTACGTACAAGACAAAAATGTAGATATTTATCAAAAAACGTACGAGGACACGATATATCCTGATGCGAGCCAAGCTAACGACCAATACACAGTTTTACCTAACGATCAGTATACGAATTTTTCGAATGATCAGTACGACAAGGGTCAAGACATGATTATCGAAAATAATTATCCTGTTGAAAATTATGATCGGAATAACGTACAATATCAAGAGACATATAGTCAAGATGAAATTTATCAAAAACAGTACAGCGATTACGTTCCTTCGAGCGTCTACGACCAGAATAACGTATCGAATACTTACAATCAATATCAGCAGTACGATTCCGATTATAATATCAACACATCTACAGATTATCAAAATACTTATCAAGATAATACACACAATGAAGTGCCTGTTACGACTCAAGATAATTATCAGGATGCTTATATTAAGCAAGATCAAGACAATTATACAAATTACGAGGTTCCTTATACAAAAGAGGATACTGTATCGTCGACCTATCCAAATGATTATCAAAATCAATACGAAAATTATCAAGAGGAACGATACGATGATACAACTTATCCTGATTCTTACCAAGAATCATCCTATCAAGATTCTTATCACGATTCTTACGAGGAACGTTATAAAGAAAGTCCAGTGACTGTTACGGAAAGGAGACAAAGTGAAGTACCTGAAGTATCCGTAACTACGCCTAAGGGTCAGACTAAAACAAACGGTTATCCGTCTAGCGAATCGGAATATTTGCATTCTAATCAAGAAACCGAACAAGTTTCGCAAGTAGGTGCGTCGAGGAGAAAGAAACTCGGTAAGCGCGAGGCCAGTCCACTTTTGCAACAAAACACGGACTCGCTGGAATCGAGGGATGACGAATTAAAGGATTCATTTGAAACAGCTATAAGTTCCGTCGAAAGTAGTCAACCTAGAAAAGCTCTTAGCGAGTATTCCACTGCGGGAGATTCTAGTCCTGCGGCAACAACTATAGTTGATTCGCCTCAGAGTACGACTCAGCCACCTACAAGCATGGTCAATCACGTAGCTAGTGTAGAAAATCATGTTAGCAGTAGTAGTATTATCACAGTTACAGCGACAGTTCATTCAACCTCTACTACGGCAAATGGCAAACGATTTTCTCGAACAGACTCATATCAGGAAGAAACAATTGAGGACGAGGAACATCCTGAAATCATTCCCACAGAACTTCAGAGAAAGGATTCTCAATTATCTTATCAGAGTCAAATCAGTCAACATTCGAGTACTCATTCGCAAAAACCAAAACTCACAAGAGGCGATTCTTACGCTTCTGATCATTTCCCCGAAGAGTCATACGATAGAAGAGGATCTTATGTTCAATCTACCAGAAAAGATTCCATTTCTTCAACCACACAAGAAGCATTCAAACCGCCTCTAACCAGAACCGATTCATATCAAAGCAGAGGGTCTGGTTATGCACAAAATTTCAACGCTCCTCAAGCAATTTCCAGAGCTGAGAGTTATCAGAGAGGTTATTTCAAGGATCAAGAAACGATAGACGAGACCGACATTACTTTGAGCAATCAATTGAACGGAGGGTACAAAATGAGGGACGAAACTCTTGAAAGGTTAATATTATTTACATATTTTTATTCGTGTAATCTTTCTTAATAATCATCGTCGTTTATTTTTACATTAATTTGTTGTCCAGGTACGAACACGGAGAGGAAGCAATGATTCGTAGCTCTCGAGAGAATTCATTGGTCGACGCGTACAAGACGACTCCACCATTGTCGCAAACGGAGAGTCCGCGCGGTTAGTAGGCTACGTAATAGGCCGATGAATCTTATATCCGTCATCTATCGGTTATCTATCAAGATTTCTATAAAAAGCTTATTTTATTCTAGGTAGTATAACGAAGCAAGCATCGTTGGAGGAGAGCGTTCAAATGGATACTCCGCCGCGAAGTCCACCAGAACCACCACCCGATCAGGAACTTTTAGAGATGGTCGGTGCTGTACCTGTTCCAACCCAACTCAAAGAAAGACCGGAAATAAAGATGACACCTCGACAACGTTGGCACTGGGCCTACAATAAGATCATCATATCATTGAACGTGAGTATTTGTTTTCCATCCTTATAATGCGATCGCTCACCTGACCTTCGACTAAATTTTTGTCTAAAAATAAACCTGTACACTCGTATAGAATTTTTTCAAAGGCCGTGTTAACGCTCGAGTTACACGTCAAAGTAACGTTTAACGTGCTCCGGTTATTGAGTTATTTAAAAAAAGAATAAAAGTTGTTCTTCTTATTCGGCGATAAGTCAAAGACGTTGTTGTTTAAGTAATATCCTATCATGATAATATTAAAATAGTATCGGAAATTTGTATTACGTTAAAATACTTTCGCTCTCATACTCGAACACGTCACGAAAGTACATCGACCTACGTGTGTCGACCTTCCGAAAAAGATCTGCGGTTGTTCGATATCTCGCCACCTCGTCGTCGGTAGCCCGCATCTCTTCGACAGTCCTTCGCAGCCGCACAAAAGCGGCCTTGCCAATTGTTACTACCTTTCGAGAGAACCCATCAATTTGTCACGTAGTCGTAGCTATAGGAATGGCGCGCATCCATTTTCTCTCTTTCTCTCTTTCTCTCTCACCCTGTGATTTATCGTTCGTGTACCTTTTCGTTCAAGGATGGAAGTTCGCATCACGAACTGTCGACCGGAATTTAATCGAACCGAGTCACGATCAATTGTTTGACTCGCGGTTTACAACTATTGATCTAACCTCTTGCCACAAATCAGGGACTTCAATTTTAATCATCTTAAATTAATCTTAGAAAAATTTCTTTTGCAAACACTTTTTATTATCTCATGTTAGTAGATTTATAAAAGGTAGATTTACTTACTGTTTTACCGATGACCTTGAAGCTTTTATCGTATCAGACTGACTTTCGTTACTCGCACGGCGAATGAATAAAAAACGAACGAAGCGTGAAAAGGTTGAAGTCGTGTTAGTATATCGCAAAAGAAAGGAGAAAAAGGGTGGCTGAGAGAAATCGTCGGAGTTGCGTTGGTGACTCGTCACCTTGAAAATCTCTTGCGATGGTTCAAGTCGCAGCTGTAGATTCTATGTATATATATATAACGTTAGCTTACACGAAACTTCCATTAACGCAAGCAGCCATGTCGCCCAATTCGCCTCGTCCAATCGTGTCACCCAATACTACCGCCCAATCCTCTCCTCCAATCACGGTTCTCCGAGTATACGCACCTGCTGCACTTTGAGATGCCGTAGCAGACGATGTACACTTTAGAAACGTTATTGCACTAGGGAAAATCTAAATGAGCGAATTAAGAAGACAAGAGTTGAAATTGGAGAAGTAAATTAAGCTTTAAGTGTTAAGCTTGCACACCAAGGTGAAGGAAAGAAGGAGTAAGAGAATGAAACAACATAGCCAATTCTGTTGGTTTATTTGTTGCACCGGAAGGTTGTGATGGCCACGCAATTTTGTCTAATAATTATTTACAATAACTGAAAACTTTTCCTATAGATCCGGAACATCATCTATTTGAAATATGCAATTTGAAATTGATTTTAATCAATTTTCCAAATATAATTACACCTTTTATATCGGTTATCAGTAAATAATGATTTTAATGATAATCGATAATCCATTCGTTGAGTCGTAGTCGTCGATATAGACCATCCCATAACGATTAACACAAATCTCCATTACCAATTAAATATCAAACCAAATTGTTGTTACGAAATGGCCGTACGAGAGATAATTTATTCTCGAAATAATTTATAAGTTTTACCATTCATTCGTTATATCGCCTACGTTTAACTACTTCCTTCAGTAGCTACGATATGAGATTTCATTATACTCTTTATCGCTATGATTCATTGTATTTCTGCGATATCGATACTTTAACAAACTTTTATAAATAATATCTCTCTTATTATTATATCAACTATTATTATAAAATATTTGATGGGAGTTTTTTTAAATGAATTTATTAATTTTTATTATTCTTCCTTATATTGCATCAGCTAAGAGTCTCATTTCGCGTTTCTGAGTATCACGTAGCTAGACGCTTTCCATTCTTTCCAGCGTATTTTTATTATTTCTATAAAACATGCCGTTCGTATGCTTGACCGTGTCTCACTTTGCATTTTATTCGAATTCTCTAAAGGTTCGTTCGTTGGAACCCCTTTCACTCTTGTCGATATTCCATTTTGAGAAAAATGATATACGTGGATTCACGGCGATTCATCATTTTCCTTCATACTTGAAACTCACCGAAAAAAATACTACTCTTCGATTCAATAACAATTTAACCCTGAAAGATTATTACTTGGAATTGTCCTTCCTGCGTACGTTTGTTCCACTGTGTGCCGATAAAAAAAGAAAAAAAAAAGACCTCGCGAGAATATAATCTATGTAGGGCAGACCGTTTCGTTTTCGTATCATGCGTAATCGGAAGCCCGTATGATGATTGTGAACTTGCGATTGCGATTGCTAGGACGACGACGACGACGACGACGACGACGACGACGACGACGACGACGACGACGTTGACGTTGACGTTGACGACGACAAGAAGAGTGCGACGACCAAACGCAGAGGATGACGACGAGTAGGATGACGAACGATTAGACGAACGATATCACCTTCACCACAAGGTCTTCGCTTACTCGTCATTCGGTTATCACGGCTAACACGTTCGCGCTTGAAGCAAAGCAAATTCAACTTTTTCCTTCCAGTATCGAATCATTTCTCCGTACGTCAAGTTCGCTGCATACATCGGTCCCCATATGAACATTCATTCTAACAATACTTTCCTTGGTTTAAATTGATAACAAAGTTTTCCCGATCCTTCGACTTGGTCAAGCACGAAAGGATACTAGGCGTTTTTATCGATCGTTATTAGGCTTTTATTAGACGGAAGTGTCGTCGACGGTCTGCAAAGAGAGTACATCTTCGCAGGGGGTCGTGTTAACTTAAGTGAAAATACCACTGAGAGGTCCATCACAAGCTAGTATACTAGCACCCTACTTCTTACCATTACTATATGACGATATCCTAAGCTCGCACAACGATCTATCAGCCTCATTGAGTCTCGTCGTAGTTGCCGACCAAGAAGGATCTCTCTTTTATTCTTCGTTCCATCTAAGGATTATTATCCTTTTGACCGAGATACTCGAGTATACACCTAACAGCCACTTTCAAACATCTACGAGGCAACAAGTTGGCGTGGCTGAGAACGTTAACTGTGGAAACCGGAAAACACTATACCTGTTTCTAAAGGAACTGAAGTATTGCCCTTTAAAGATGTCACTCGAGGAAACATTCTTAAGAAAGAGACACGTCAAAGGAAGTAAGGTAAAGAGAACGTTTTCTTGAAAAAGAACTTTGTCAATTTTGAAATAAACAAAAGACTTTATTTTTGATCAAAGAAAACGACAAATTTTTCTAGTTAACATTGAAACAAACGATAACGACTGACCGACCGGATGGTTCTTTATCGTTAAAATAAAAATAACTCTTAAACGAAGTTTCCGTCACGTTAAAATCATATTTCATTGTCAAATCGTATATACGTTTCAACGTATATAATATTTTTTATCGAGAAAAAGAAAGAAAGAAAATCAGTGAAAATGGAGACACGTGAAAAATCGACCGAATGGGCATTGCTCTTTCCTTTGAAAGCTGGTCTCTTTGCAATGAAGTCTTCCTTATCATCAAAGAGCGTTAATCGGGAGAAAGAAAAAATTGCTAAAGAAAAAATATCCTTGCCAAGGGCTAGGATACGTCGTGGATCGTCTCTTTCTGATTTGGACAAACTTCAAAGTAAATCAATTTTACCGGATGTGGTTAGATCAACGGAAAAATGTTCCGAATCTCTTCCACATTCACCGGCACTTTCAAGAACGAATCTTCAACTGTGTACCAATCAGGTCAGAGGTAGCATCGGTGATCTGATGAATCTGAAAAAATATGGTGGCTCTAATTGGAGTGTCAGAAGCGAGAGTCTTGTTGCCAAAACTGTACCTTTAAGTACCGTAACTCTCAGACATAGTCCACAATTTGAAGATGATGTTAAAGATTTCGAGGATGAACTCAGGGATGATTTTGAATTGAACGGACAACCACTTACTTGCGCTCAAAGGACTCAACGACTCAGCAGACTTATCAAGAAACAACGTCAAATGATGGTCTTTAGTCCTAACTCTATCAAAAGGATGATCGTAAGTTTTCAAAAAGAATTTAATTTACGTTAAGTCCTTTCTCAATGACGTGTCTCGTAAAAACGATTTAAGATCTAATGAAATATGTCTGTGTAACAAAATATGAGAATATATGTTACATTTACGTAATACCTGTTGTTGTTTAGGGATCGAGCTTGACGTTTATACGAAGTTTTATGTCTACAACCTTTTTTTTATCGTCAGAAAATCTCTCTTTCTCTCTCTGTCAGCTTACGTGACAGTAATCTTGTAAAATTAAAAAAAAAGCACACAAGCCATGATTTATCCTGTCATTTTATACCCACACTTAATAAATGACACCCAGCTATGCCCAAAACGTGTTAAAAATGCGTGCCCTACGATGAAAATGTAATTCAGCTGGAAATAGGAATATTATCGTCAATATAATACCAAAATAAAAATAAAACTACAATAGCTTTAACATATTTTCTAATTACGATAACGAGCCTCGAGCGATATTTCGAAATAATCTAATCTCGGTATTATAGGAAGGACAGTACGTATCTTTCGCGTTAAACATTCGCATGAAAGATAAAGCATGAAAATTCATGGAAATTTAATCATTTCGAAATGTTTCCAACACACGATTTAGTTAAGTGTGTTCTTCTTCGTTGACAAAATTTCTTTTTATAATCGATTTTTTCCTACCCTCCCTCACCATCACCAAACCCCACTTATGATTCAACGACGTCGACATATTCCTACTTTCCGATTATTTTCATCGATCAATATCCTTACGTGTAAATAAACGATAAACGGTAGATATTACATCGATCTTATGATTTTCTCATGAGTTATTTCAAACGAGGAAAATATGTCGTGAAGGGAAAACTT